CTAACTTCAGTAAAAAAAAAAATACTCTTAGGTGGGTACAACAATCCATAAAACAAAACTACAAAAAAATGTCAGCAGAAGTGTGGGAATGTTCAGGGAGGCAGGAGAGGATATATTGTTTAATAATATCCTCCCTAACTTGCGTTAGCAAGTTATATAACTTAGTTTTACATTCCCCTTTTAAACGCACAGCGGTTAGCTTGTTGCAAGCTTGTTTAAGCTTATCAATATTAGATTCCTGTTCATTTCCCCTTTTATCCCTCTGAAAAGAATAGACACAACACAATCTTGTGTAAAGTATACAGTGGTACCTCGGGTTAAGTACTTAATTCATTCCGGAGGTCCGTTCTTAACCTGTTACTCTTAACCTGAAACTGTTCTTAACCTGAAGCAGCTCTTTAGCTAATGGGGCCTCCTGCTGCTGCTGTGCCGCCGGAGCACGATTTCTGTTCTCATCCTGAAGCAAAGTTCTTAACCTGAAGCACTATTTCTGGGTTAGTGGAGTCTGTAACCTGAAGCGTATGTAACCTGAAGCATATGTAACCTGAGGTACCACTGTATATAAAAGAAGTTTACTCACACATTCAGTTCACAGATGGATCTCTGAAGGCACTTCGTTATGGAGTATATACATGTGGAATCTATCCCATATGGGAATAGTCCCTTTGTCCTCTGTTGGCTGAAAGCCAACACAGCACCTCTAGCTAAAAAGCTGTTGCTCCTACAATGGACAAAATGAAATAGACGGTGTGTACAGCGTGCCTGTCCTTTTGTGTTACCTGGGCGGGTAAAGTCACACCCACCTCTAGTCACATGCAAAAGGAAGTATGTCCCAGTCAGGAGGAAAGTTTTCTACTGACTGGACCAAACATTCCCTGCAAGTTCACTCTAGGAAAACAAGGAATGCTGTACTTGACTGCTATCTATGTATCACATCCCACATGAAGTAGAATAAAACAGCAGGCTAAAAACAAGACTGCTGTTTTACAAAAAGATGTAACTCAGTGGCAGAGCATCTGGCATCACCAGAAAGGACTGGGAAGGACCTTGTCTGAAACCCTGGACAGCCATTGTCAGTCAATGGACAACACTGAGCTAGGTGGACCAGTGGTCTCTCTCCATATATTCCCATGCCTGGGTCTGGACCAAAAGGAAGACAGGCTTATTGGGAACGGCATTCCATTCCTTTTTGCCGTAGCCAAAAAAGACAGTATCGAGAAGTAGCAACAGGTACTACTTCATGCAACATATAGTCGAACTATGAAACTCATTCTCCCACAAGGCAGGGATGGCCAACAATTTGGATGGCTTTAAAAGAGGACTAGACGATTTCATGGAGAGGGGTATCAATGGCTGCTAGCCCTGGTGTCTCTGCTCTGCCTGCACAGATGGAGACTGAAATGCTTCCGAATACAGTGGTACCTCAGGAATTACTTTTATAATGAAATGATTTTAGAATGTTGTACTGTTTTATTGTTGTTAGCCGCCCTGAGCCTGGCTTCGGCTGGGGAGGGCGGGATATAAATAAAAATTTTTATTTTTATTTTTATTTATTTATTTATTATTATTATTATTATTATTATTATTATTATTTTATTATTATTATTATTATTATTATTATTATTATTATTATTACCTCAGGTTAAGTACTTAATTCGTTCCAGAGGTCCATACTTAACCTGAAACTGTTCTTAACCTGAAGCACCACTTTAGCTAATGGGGCCTCCCGCTGCTGCCGCGCCGCCGGAGCACGATTTCTGTTCTCATCCTGAAGCAAAGTTCTTAACCTGAGGTACCACTGTACCAGTTGCTGGAAACCATGGGAGGGGAGAGTGCTCTTGCGCTCATGCCCACAGGTTCTTGCAGGAAATGATGGAGCTCCTGGTACCCATTTCAAACATGAACAGATGCTTCCAATTTTCCTCCTAATTCCACACCTGAAATCACATTTTCTGGTCTTCATGGTAGTCTGGTATTTTAGATTTCCCCACAACTTGGAACAATATAATAACAGTAACAACAACAATAATTTTATTATTTATACCCCGCCCATCTGGCTGGGTTTCCCCAGCCACTCTGGTTGGCTTCCAGAACAATACAAAAACATAATAAAACGTCAAATGTTTAAAAACTTCCCGATGCACCTGTGTCCCTGGCAAGAGATAAGAAAACAGCCACATGTGCTGAACCTTGAGTCAGTCCCTTTTATAGGAGCATAGCATTTTGAATACAGGCTTGCTCTTTTGAGACAAAGAAGGACAAAAAGTGCTGGGGCATAGTAGAATTGTTCCTTTTTGTTACCATCTCTATACAGTAGCCTAAAGTACAGTATGTGCTTCTAAACATTACACCATAAACAGAGTGCATTCCCAGAGCAGCTTCCCATGCTTGGTCCAGCAATGAATGTTGGGTAATAATTTTTTTTATAAAAAAAAACACCCCTATATGCCAGAATACCGTTGCTGGAGTGGAAAGGAGGCAAAGCAGAATGCTTTATCTGTTGAGTTTCTGCCTGTCTCTCAGCTTGTTAATGGCACCATAAACGCTGTGGGTTAAACCGCAGAGCCTAGGACTTGCTGATCAGACGGTCGGCAGTTCGAATCCCCGCGACGGGGTGAACTCCTGTTGCTCGGTCCCTGCTCCTGCCAACCTAGCAGTTTGAAAGCACGATGTGCAAGTAGATAAATAGGTATGGCTGTGGCGGGAAGGTAAACGGTGTTTCTGTGCGCTGCTCTGGTTCGTCAGAAGCAGCTTAGTCATGCTGGCCACATGACCCGGAAGCTGTACGCCGGCTCCCTCGGCCAATAAAGCGAGATGAGCGCCGCAACCCCAGAGTCGGTCACGACTGGACCTAATGATCAGGGGTCCCTTTACCTTTACCTTTTTAAACCTGCCAGAAAATGAAACCTAAGTTCAAACTCCTGCCAAGTTATGGATCTCCAGTATAGATACCTTGGATCACCATGTGCAAATCTCTCTCCTACCTTGCATGACTTGGGGGGGGGGGATACTTACAGTTGGTATTCTAATTTATCTTGAGCTCTTATGAGGGAAAATAAAAGGTAAGGATATTATGAGAGAGAAATGCCGCACTGGTCTATTATAGCAAGGCAAAAAGTGGCACCGTGGTACAATTGCTTCTAGAAGCTTCAGTGTACACGAGGGATGAGTGACCCGTAGTGTCCCAAATACTGATGGCCTACATCTCCCATCATCCTCAGCACTGGCCAGTGAGATTTTGAATGCCAACCCCATCCCTGGCCTACACAACTGAGACTATCGCAGCTACTACAATCCAAACAACTGTCTGTCAGCAGTGTCCTTGTCAGGACATTTCCTGAATTTTTCTCTTGCATGACTGATTCATTTATCTTATGCAGTGCTTCCACAAAGGACTGCAGGACAGTGTATTTGAGCGTTTCCCCAATTTAGCCTCATAGCCTTGCTGATGTGTAGATCCTTCACACCACTTTGCTATCCAGTCCTTTTAACTTGAGGTGACAGGATCCGAACATGGGACCTTTTGCATCCAAAGTATGTGCTTTACTATTATCCCTCCCCAACATTACCCATTAAGTTTTATGGCCAAGTGCAAACTTAAAAACACAGGTCTCCTCTGTAGAAAAACCAACGTTCTGTCCACAGCAAATGGTTTTTGCAAGTGCCCGGCCAAGTGAGACATCTATGTGAGCTTTACAGCACCATTAGTGTTTGCAATACCAACTTACAGTCCATGTATAGTAAGCACATAATAAAGTCCCTTATCATTTCTTGAATTTATATCCTGATCTATTCTGTGGACTCAGTGCAGCTTATAGCTGTTCCTCTCTCTCTCTCTCTATATATATATATAATGTTTATTAAATTTTCAATTATACATCTCAAAATAAACATTTTACATACTGTTAAATATCCAACCTCCCTCCTTCTCTTTCCACGGTTCATTCTGATTGTCTTTTGTTCCTGCAATATTTTACTATAACCATTTTATTCAGTTCTCCACTTTTACATCACTCAAGATTAACGACACTGTTGATTTTATCTTAATAAAACTTGACTTTCTTCCCTCTCTTTCTGCGGTTCCTTAAATTTATTTTTTAACATCTTCCGCATATCCAAATTAACTTAATTTGCTCATTTTTTCATCTACTTTAAATAAATACTCTTATAAAAATGCAGGTTATTACAATAATCCTGCTAATGTTCTTTTCCGTTTACAATTCATCTGTCAATATTCCATAAACCATTTCCATTCTTTTATTGAAAGGTGGTATATAGAAGCACTGTTAACGAAGCAGCAACTAACAAAATAATAATAATAATAATAATAATAATAATAATAATAATCTAAACCCAGGGCTGGATTTAGGTTTGATGAGGCCCTAAGCTACTGAAGGTAATGGGGCCCTTTATATGTCCAGCTGTCCTCTGTCAACAACAAATTGCCACTGCTTTTGTGTTGAATATATGCTATATGGTAACTTATGAACCTAATAGGTATCTAAAGCCATTTGCACATGCAGAATGTAGGCACCCTATATATAGAAATGAGCAAACCAGTGATATTTTAGGGAGCAGGTGGAGCCCATTGCTTACATCCCAGGAACCTACACAGCACAAAGCACTGTTGCTGTATGTAGGTTTTACTTTATTTGTTTTCTATCTTATATTTTGGAAATGTACATGCAGTTTTGTTTTCTTTTAAAAAGTTTGGGGCCCCCAAGAGAGTGGGGCCCTAAACTATAGCTTGATTAGCTTATAAGTAAATCCGGCGCGCTTAACAGCAAAAAAAGACTAACGAATTAACGCGGCGTTTGGAATCTGCAAAACATTGACAGGAGGAGCAATTAAAAACGATAATGAGAGAAGCCCTAAGGGCGCCTTTACGCGCGCCTTTTCCCTCCCGGGCACGAGAAGCGAGAGCGAGGCGGGGAAAGGCTCGCCTCCTCCGGGCAGGCGGGCGGAGCAAGCCTTGGCCAACCCCCGGAAGTCTCCGGCGAAGGGGAGGCGGAGCTGCCTCGTCGCCGGCGCCCTTCTCCTCCTCGGTGCGCGGCCAAGAGGCACGGGGGTGGCGGGCAGGTGAGGGCGTCGCGTGCGCTTCCCGAGCCGGAGGAGGAGCTGCCGGTGCCCGGCTCCCGCTGCCGGCTGCTCCTTGCTTCTCCGCTGCGCCCTCCCACGCTGCTTCCTGCCTGGGCCACCCGCGGGCCATGCGGCCGAGCTGCGGAGCCCTCCTCTTCCTCCTCGGCGGCGCCTGCAGGCTGCGAGGCGTGAGAAGAGGCGCCTCCTCCTCCTTCTCCTTCATGTGCTAGCGGCGTCGCGAAGCCCAGGAGCCGGATCTTCATTTCTTCTTCTTTCTTTCTTTCTCCCTCCCTTTTTTTAAGTCAGCCCAACTCTGGCCGGAAAGATGCTGCTGTCGCTGGTTCTGCACACCTACTCCATGCGCTACGTGCTGCCCACCGCCCTGATGATGGGCACCGCGCCCACCTACGTGCTGGCCTGGGGCGCCTGGCGCCTGCTCTCCACGCTGCTCCCCGCGCGCGTCTACCACGAGGTGGACGACCGGCTCTACACCCTCTACCAGAGCATGGTGCTCTTCTTCTTCGAGAACTACACCGGCGTGCAGGTCAGGGCGGCTGCTGCTGGGGGCGGGGGGGGCTGGCGGAGGCGCCACGCCTCCTTAGAAGGGGCCGGGGAGATAGGAACCCACCCCCTCGTCACCTTTCTCCCCCTACCTCTCCACCACCTCGCATCTCTGGATGCCAAGGCGGAGAGGGACTCGGGCAACTTGGCTACAGGTGGGCGAGGCTGCGCGCAGGTGAGCGAGCGGAGGCAGGGGCTGCGCCTTCCTCGCAGCGCTCGCGCTCTCTCTCTCTCCCTTCCCAGCAGAGACGGGGGTTGCCCCCTCGGTTTGCTCACCTTTCCAGGCTCTGGGTGGCCTCGCAGGTGGGAGCGATCCTTCCCAGGCAGCGCTGGGGCTCTGCCTACTTCCTCCATGCTGGTAACACCTAGGTTGTGCACAGCACAGTTAAGGTTGCGCACAGCAAGCCTAATTTGCACTGGGGAGGCAGCAGAGTTTCATTCGGGGAGGGGGGAGGGAAAGGGACCCTTCTTGGTAGTCGCATCCGTCCTGTGGAACACCTTCCCACCAGATGTCAAGGAAATAAACAATACTGTGGTACCTGTTCATGTTTGAAATGGGTACCAGGAGCTCCATCATTTCCTGCAAGAACCTGTGGGCATGAGCGCAAGAGCACTCTCCCCTCCCATGGTTTCCAGCAACTGGTACAGTGGTACCTCAGGTTACATACGCTTCAGGTTACACACTCCGCTAACCCAGAAATAGTACCTCGGGTTAAGAACTTTTCTTCAGGATGAGAACAGAAATTGTGCTCCAGCGGCACGGCAGCAGCAGGAGGCCCCATTAGCTAAAGTGGTGCTTCAGGTGAAGAACAGTTTCAGGTTAAGAACGGACATCCATAACGAATTAAGTACTTAACCCGAGGTACCACTGTATCTGACTTTCAGAGGGCATCTGAAGGCGTATAGGGAAGCTTTTAATGTTTGGTGTTTTTTTGTTGGGAGCTGCCTGGAGTGGCTGGGCTAACCCAGTCAGATGGGCGGCATATAAATAACAAAGGTGGCACAGTTGGTCTAGTCTTCCTTGTAACTGTGGCTCCCAGAAAGAGGTGATCTACCAGAGGCAGTGGCTGCTCCTACCAGTGTCTGCCTCCTCATCATAGCTTATCTGCCATACCCCTTTGAGTGGCACATTCAGTCCGATGCACCCAGCCTTTGCTGCTGTCCATTGTGATGGTGCACTTCTGCCATTCCTTTCTGGCTAGTACATCACTCGGAGGGTGAGTGATCGAGGAAGAGAGGTAGCTGTAAGGAACAGCCCTGCCTCGACTTGCTCTCTGTGGGTGGTAGAGCAGGGAGGAATCTCTGCCTGTTGAACCCAGTTCCAGGTTGCACAACCTAGAGAGGCTGGCAAGCGAGCAGGTGGGAAATGAGCAGAGGTAGCAAGGAGCAACAGTCAGCTCTTCCTTCCCACCTCCATGCCTGGGCTGGGCTCCATTCTCAGCACAGAGAGAGGGCAATTGAATGAGGATTGCTGGTCTCTTTTGCAAAGGCCACTGTTTACCCACGTTGGTAGGTGAGCAGGTGAACAAACAGTATCTGTATTGGCAACCTTTGCCTTTTTCCAGCAAGACCTCCACCTCTCTAGGGTTAAAGGGGAGGAGCAGACTCTTCCACCCCAGCAGAGTCCGAGCCTTCCAAGATTAAATCCTGCCAACCTTGGCGGTTGTCAACCTTGGCTTTTAAAAATGAGAGATTTGACAGGGTATCTTTAGGGCAAGTGCATGTAGTTTCGTTGGAGATCTGGAAGTGATAATTTTTTTGGCTGCCGAAACATCTGAGGGCCGAACCTCAAGGATCGCCTCTCCCCATATAAACCGACAAGGACCCTGCAATCATCACCTGAGGCCCTTTATTTGTGTCCCTCCATGAGAGGCCCAAAGCGTAACAACATGAGAATGGGCCTTTTCTGCAGTGTCTCCCTGCTTGTGGAAGCTCGCCTGGCACTTTCATTATATATCTTTAGACGCCAGGGGAAAACATTCCTCTTCCCCCAGGCCTTTGGCTAATTAAACATCTAATTAAATCTAAGGCCTCTTAAATTGGGCTGGGGCCCAGGGATATTGTTTCTGGTTTTTTTGTTTTTTGTTTTTGTAAATCGCCTTGTGATCTTCGGATGAAGGGCAGTATATAAATTTAATAAATACATAAAGATAAAATAATAATACAAGACGTTTAAACAAACAAGCAAACAAAGATCTTTTGAGATGAATGCTAAATGGGATGGCAGTATCCTGATCATTGGACATGCCAGTTTGGAAGCCAGTTCCAAGGAAGCTTGTAGTTGGCCAATTGTATTTAGGCAAATGTTTTCAAGATCAACTGTTCATTTCAGCACTGTTGCCAGCAAGCAGATGTTTCAAACTAAGGGTACCAAACTGATGTTAGATGGTCCTTTCATTGAGTATGCTTGACTAAACTCGTCATCCAGAGGTCAAAGACTTCTGCATCCTGTTAACCTTTTCAGTTTTGTGCTTAAAGTACTTTCATCACTTTCTCTTCATTCATGAGCTAATGTTTTCCTGTTTCTTCCCCTGCCACTTCTATCTTTATGCTGATAGTAAAATAAAAACCCAACCCTCTCTCACTTGTGTACCTTACCTCAATCAGGTTGTGTTAAGAAAAATATATTTTACATATTTGGATCGTGTTTGCTTCATAAATATGTATACATGTATGCTACTAATTCCACAGGAAGATTGGGAGAGTGTGCTAAAGGGGTTTTCATCTTTTAAAAGGGATTTCAAAGATGGAAGCTGGGTCTCTGTTTAAAGCGTAATACATGCCCTCACATGAAATAATTCCATTATTTTCACATGTTGGTTCTTGAACTGATCAGGTACTGATTGTTATATAGAAACACTTAAGACAATGTCTGCTTCCATCTTTTTACTGTTGCTTCAATGCGTATTGCATATGACTTTTACTGTAATTGTGTGTGTGTGTGTGTGTGTGTGTGTGTGTGTGTATTTGTAAGCTGCTTTGAGATTCACTGGAATAAATAGCAGCTTAGAAATACTATGAATCAAATCAGTATTAAGACTTTACCTGAACCGCACTAGCATGAACATGTCATGATTTTGCAAGATAATCTTTTTTCTGTCCTCTCATTGTAAAAGAATGATTGCATGTAAGAGTACACTTTTATAAGCCAATTTAGTTGTACATCCCTTCAGTTTCATGGACTCAGGTGAACGCTTAAGTTATACATGGTCATTCTGACTTCAGTAAAGTGCTACATAAAGTCATGGGTCGATTAATTTGGGGCATCAAGGTGAAAGAAAGGGAAAAGGTAGTCCTGTCATAATGTGGGAATTGTTAAATCTTCCCTCTCAAGAGTTTAAATAAAATAAAGTTTGATCCTAGCTTTTGTTGGTGTTCTTCAGGCTCTTAAATCAAGTACCCTTTTTCTTTCCTAGATAATTCTGTATGGCGATCTGCCAAAAAATAAGGAGAATGTGGTATATATATCAAATCATCAGTGTACAGGTTTGTATGCAATTTCCTTACCTGCAAGTGTTTTTTAATTAAATCATTATTAAAAGCAAAAACAAAAAGTGTCAATATAACCACTGAGAAGGAAATTCTCTAGATTTAGATACTTGGGATTGCATGTTAAGATTAAATAAACAAAAATACACGGTGTGATCCTGATAGATGAGCAAGATAATGGGGCTTTTAAGCTGTTTCTTTGCAAAACAGCCCCCACATGCTTCCTAACAAGGTGCCTCGAATTTGGAAGTGCTTTTGAACCGACACAAACAGTTGTATCCAATGGCGGCTCTTGCACAAAGCAAGACACCCATTGGTTTTTTTCCAGTCCTGCTCATGGCAGCCCACTGAAATGCCACCCCTAAACTTGGGAGGAACCAATGGAAGAAGGTATTGTAACGCTCAAGAGGGATGCAGTAGGATTGGTGAAAAATGGGGGGGTTCTGCCTTTCATGAGCAAAAGTGATTTCCACTGGAAACCTGCACACAGTGTTCAGTTTTAATTGTGTGCTACTCATTTTTTTGCCAAGTGTCTAATATCTGTTTTGAACTTGGCTGATTGGCTTCATGAATTATATTACCCAACTTTTCCGTGTATAAGACAATTTTTTAAATTATAAATTAATGTTTGAGCGATTCTCAGCAATCCCCCCCCAAGAAAAGCTCAGCAACTCACAACTCTTGTGTAAATTTGGACTCCCCAAAAATAGGGGTTGTCTTATACATGGGGGCGCGTTATACACAGAAAAATGTGGTAAATACTGGAACCCTGGGGGGTGATTTCAAGAAGTCCCATTACTTTTAGTTCTTCTGATTCTGGTTTTAAGGGCACATTACTTAACATGAAGGTGTATTTCTGGTTTGTTGTCTGTTGAGTCAGAGTTTCTCACCCGATCCTTCGAGATATGCATCTATTTTGTGTTGGCAGGAGATTAAAAGTTATGTAGTGGTATTGTGCAAACAGTACAAGCTTTGTTTAAAAAATGAAGAAATGTGTGCTAAAATACTAAAGGGTAATGGGGGAATATGATTGTGGAAAGAACTTACCTTGCATTGCCACTGACCGCAGTTCATCTTTCATGTTCATAAGCACCAGACGAGCATTAAATAATGTTGGGAAGGATTTTGACATTAGCCTAGGGACATAAATGTTTGAGTTTTGTTTGTTTGTTTTGCAGTTGACTGGATTATAGCAGATATGTTGGCCGTCAGGCAAAATGCTCTGGGACATGTTCGATATGTTTTGAAAGACGGGTTAAAGTGGCTTCCTTTATACGGGTGGTATTTTTCTCAGGTAAATCCTAATCCTTTCTCCACGTCACATGAAATAACTAGTACTTTCTGCTAAATTTTGACATGCCTCAATCCTGGGCATATTAACTTGGAAGTAAATCCCATTTATTTCAGTAAAACTTAGTCCCAAGTACTGTAAGGCATGCTTGAAGTCATGTCCATGCAATGATTCTGTCTTGATAATGTGTTTTTGTTTCATATTTGAAACAGAATAGTGAAACTTCAACTCTTTCTAGTTAGCAGATTTTATCTGGTAGGGTTAGGAGGGTATCTTTGGCTCTCCAGTCAGGTGTTAAGCAAACTAAAAGTAAGTCACTGAACTTGGGACAATGCCCGCTAAGATGCAAAAACCACGTGACTGTGTCCTACACAATTAACAGTGCAATTCTGGCATTTATTTATTTATTAGAAGTAATTGACATGGAGTTCTCAGGTAAGTGGGTCCAGGATGAACCCTAAGACAATTTCGTGTATACTGAATTGAGTCCCACTGAATTCAGTGGTGTTGACTTCTTAGTAACCATGTATAGGATTGCACTTGAAACATTTATCCTTTAGTTAAATTACTTACATATTTCAATCTGGCTTTAATCACATTTAAATTTGGGTTTGGGTTTGACTCAATGCATGGATTGTGTTTATTTATGGGATAATATCCTTGCTGTTGCACATATTCATAACATGTTAGCAAAATTGGGTTGTGTTTCCAAAGAAAGCAAGAATAATTTGATAGATGTCTGCATATGCTAAAATTCACTGAATTGTGGCTTTTATGTCTTTGTCACCGTGAAGTTTCTGATTAAAAAAAAAAAAACCAAGTAGCCCTTTTATGTCAATGACTTGATTTAGATATGTTCTTATATTTTCTTATTCTCTTTCCTTTTTGCTTTTTTGCTCCTCTAGTTGAGCTTCATATGGATTTTATCCTAGTAGGCTATCAGGGTGATCTAGTGAGCTGTGTTCCATTAGACACAATAGTTGAAATTCAGAAGATCTTTGGGAGACAAGGGGTAGTGTTTCTCACTAGGTGAGTGTGGTTCCATATCTAAACTCGTGCCATATATTTTAAGCAGAGAGAGATAAGATCTATAATGACAGTTTCCCACTTCTCTGCATATGGTCCCATAATTCACATCTTGTGTCCCGAAAGTCACAAGATGTTGGTTCACAGATGCAAAAACACAAGCTGCATAGCACATACCTCCATTTTTTGAACGCCACTCTATACAATCACTTTAAATGAATGAACCCCTTCTATATTTGGAGTAAATCTGGAGTTGCTTTCTGCTGCCAGGTGGGGATGAGGGGTAGAATTTTCATACATTAGTTTCTTGTAGGTTCCCCTTTGTCATTCGTTCAGACTAGGGCTGCCATACATCTGGACATTACCGGGATTTCAAATGCGGAATTGATGTCTGGAGGAGGGGGGGATTTCTGAAAGGCAGCGCTTTGTCCTGGATCTTAGGCAAGTCAGTCGGAAAAAACCCTTTGAAATATGGCAACTCTAGTTCAGACCGGGTAGTGACTGATCTTCCATGGGTGTGCTGCCATAGAAAATATTAATTATCAGGGTGAGTTGTGTTTTGCCAAATCCAATGTATGAAATGGCCACCATAAGAATCACTTCAAATGTTACTGCTTCTGTGTGAAGGCCACTCAAAAACTTGGGAGTAGATCCCTGGAGGGATCCAGCCTGATCTATGTGGTCAGTAAACTGGGATTATTCATATGGTCACCCTGGTGGTAAGTAACCGTACACATGTTACAGTTCCCCCATGGAAACATTTTTTTGGTTGCCTTCTCTTGAGAACCACAATGTTTGACTCAGACCTACAAGTTTGGTGCATGGAAAATAGGTTCCCCCTGGAGGAAGCTTTCAATTGTTCTTCATGGCTGTTGCTTCTGTGGTAAAATCTCACCCTACGTGCTCATAAACAATATGTGACTGCTCATTGAGTGTGTCACCGTGTGGATTGAAAAGCTTGAGAAATAAGATTGGCTGTTTTTCTCCATAACAATAAATTTAAAAACAAAACAAAAAACTTCTTACGGGCATAAGAAAATTGACTCCTCTGTATGACAAGCGCTGCAGAGAATGATTTTGCAAATCATTCCCACATGGTTGTTAGTTGGTATGCACCAGCATTTGATCTAGTAGGTGCACTGAGAGAAAAATGGACCTTTGGTACCTCATGGTAAACAATATGGCATGAACTGCAGTCATTTACTTGCTGGTTTACAAATCAGGCCTTGAGTTGAACCAGTGAAGTTGTTTTCCTTTGGCATAGGGACAAGGAAGGACAGCATTGTTTTTACATTGCCTCTTTTCCCTTGTTTCTCAATACAGGTGCTGCAATCCTGTCCAATTTATCTGTTTCACTCCAGAGATATTGAGCGATTTGCAGATTTTTTAAAATCTTGCAATAAAATCCAAAAATTAAATAGTCCCACAAATCCTCAAACTGCTTTAATAGTTCATAGGTTTTTCCCAAAGAATCCCAAGAACCGTAGTTTTAGGTCCTCACAGCCCTAAAATTCCCAGCATCCAAACTACAGCTCCGAGGATATGGTTCCCCACCTTTTCTTGTCCATGCCCCACACCTAAGCATCTCTAAAATCCCCCCCCCAGTGACATATAATTCTTATTATTTAAAAAGTGAACTCCTGTTTACGTGGAGGAAGCTAAAAGGCCTTTAACTTGGTCTAGCTCATTATCAAATTGCCCCCCTTGAAAATTAAACTGCCCCCCTATGGGGCCTGTGCCCCACGTTGGGAACCACGGCTTTAGAGGAATTCATGTGCTTTAAATGTATGGTGTGGTTGTGACCTCAGGAAGTGGTTTTCAGGACAGCCCATGGCTATGTATTTTTCATCCTCAGGCTGAGACCACATTGTCCTCCTCCTCCTCCTTGCTCTGTAGCCGTGTGATAACAGATTATTTCATCAGAATAATGCTCTTGTTGTTTTCTGGAAGGGAAGAGGCAGCAAATTAGCAACGCAAGAAGAGCCCTCCTGGATCAGTCCGAAGGCCTGTTTAGTCCAGAATTCAGTTTCCCACAGGAAACAACCAGCAGCTGTTGGTTTTCTTGCCAGTGGCTATCACCAGACTGAAAATGCCCATTCCTGGAGCTCCCTCTCCTCTTGGAAGCAACCACCTTCCTCCTGACAAGTGACTAGGTCCGGGTGGTTCTTCTCCTGTCTTGTGCAACCACAGTAAATAATTCTACTTGCTGTCATTTTAGGATAGGTATTTTGTTTACTCCCCATAGTTGTTCAAGATCATTCATCCGCCGTTTTCCCAGTTAACTTCCAAAAAATACTAGTCTGCCGAGCAGTCTTATTCCCATGGATGATGAGGTGATAAAAAGCTGGGTTTTCCTTTAGATCAGCTGTTCTCAACCTGTGGGTCCCCAGATTTTGTTGGACTACAACTCCCATCATCCCTGAGCTCTGGCCTTGCTAGCTAGGGGTGATGAGAGTTGTAGTTCAACAACATCTGGCTGAGAAAGGCTGTTTTATTTTGGGTTGTGGATGCTTTTCATGCTGTAAATATGAGAATTCAGTGGACACCTTGGCCAACATTCAGTGTCGCAAATCACAGTCTGCAAATTATAGCACTTAAAGGTATTTAAGGGGAAATTCTATTGATAAGGATATGCAAAGTATATGGAGTCTGTTGGCAGGTATTCTTTTTTTCTTTTTTTTTAATTCTCCCTGACATGCCAAATGGTACAAAAACAAAACAAAAAACCACTTCCTCCTCTTCCTGTTGATACTGTGTTGGTGATGTCACTCGCGCTCCACTAAAACTTTCCAGTGACAATTAATTACAGAATTGTGATGGAATGCATATTTCCTACCTCAGATAAACATCCTGTTGTGGAATATATGTGTGTAGGATCTGAGTATGTAGAAAGCAGAACACAACTTTTAAGGAAAACATGCTAGTAAACACATCTGTATGCTTCCTCCCCAAGCACAAAACACACTCTTAAAGCATTAGAGAATAAATATGAAAAAGCTAATATGGTATTTATCAGCTTCTTGGAAATGTATTCCAACACTCTATTGATTCTCAGTTTAATGTTGATTCCCAGAAAAGTCCTACATACACAACACAGTGCCGTGAAGTGAACATGTATGTAGATAAAAAGTAATAGCTTAAAATGTGGCAGAAAAATATCACCTGATCCACCTGACTCTAGAGAAAACTGATCTCTCAGTTGAAAACATTTTTACTTGGAAGGAAGGCCTGAGGATTTCAGTGGAATTTAGAACTTGAAAACATGTAGTATCTTCATCAGAGGTGATGGTTTTAACATTTGTCCTTTGTGAGATACGTTATAGCTCCCTGTAATTATTTTGTTTCAACCCTCTACTTCTTGTTATTACATGCTTTACCCTATAGCTGGTCAAGCCCATTCATAATAAGTTTCCTATATTAAAAGTTAGGGCTGTGTTTGGCAAAGTCATAGAGTAAATCAATGGACATGATAAACTTAAGTCCTTTGATTTCAGTGGGTCTGCTCTGAGTTTGACTTAATCAGATACAATCCAGTATTGTATGTGTGCCTGTTGCTTTTCTCTTGAGTAGGCATTGCACGCTGAGCCAACTGTCTTTGTTTTGCAGACAAGGGCTGCTGAATGCTTTGAAGCAGTTGGCCAAGGTTGAAATTAGGGAACAAAGCGATAAAGCGATTAAACATTAGCAGCTTTTCGTCTTAATTGATTGTAATAATCATTTTATTACTTGTATGTGACACTTGAGGTCTGCTATAATCCTGGCAATCCCTGTTATATTCTCTACATCAGCCTTTCTCAAGCTTGGGTCCCCAAATGTTGTTGGACTGCAACTCCCATCATTCCTAGCTAGCAGAACCAGTGACGATTGGAGTTGCAGTCCAACAATATTTGGCAACCCAAAGTTGGGAAAAGCTATTACGTACTAATCAGGCCACATCTATGCCCAGTTCTGAGTGCTGTAATTTTAAGGAAGACATTGACAGATTGCAGCATCTCTAGAGGATGGTGACCAAGATGGTGAGGGATAAGAATTGCAATTTATTTGAGGAACAATTGAAAGAACTGAGTATATTCAACCTAGAGAAGACTACAGCGAGTCGTGATGGCTGTCTTCAAATACCTGAAGGGCTATCATGCAGAAGATAGAACAGTTTTGTTCTCTGTTGCACCAGAGTACTGTACCAGCAGGCTGGGGAATAGAATCCTTGAATGCCATACTTGAAATGTAACTCTTTTTTTGTTAACTTGGCACAATAGGACATTTTATTAATTAACTGTTATGCATGGATGTGTTCATGAATTCGTTACAACTGCTTCTTTTAAGTCAAGGCATCTGGTATTAACTGAAGCCATCGGCCTTTCCCTTTCCTTCTCTCTCCTCTCCATTTTGCGCTTGGGGGAACCAGTTCAAGAATTAGCCAATATATCTGCAGTTCTGAAAATGGGTTGCATTCAACGTAGGACTAAATAGTGCTTTGCACAAATAGAACAGCTTCTTATCCCCCCCCCAATGCCTCACCCCTAAAACTGTTCTGGATCCCCCCCCCCAACCTTCCAGAGCAGATTTGAGAGAGGATAGCCCAGGCTGGGGATGGAAGGTGGAGTACAGATGGAGTCCCATTGCACACTCATAAGTTATTGCACACTCTTGCATTTATTTAGTTGCTTACTGCCCACTGGTTTAAAATACTTTTAGCTTATATAGTGCCCCCTTTTTTGGTTTTATTTCATTGTAAGCATGTCTATAAACATAAATGTGGGCGTGTTCAAAGGTGGGTTGCTTGGTTTAACAGCATTTTGTAGTGTGACTATGCGTACATCTAGCTCAGGAGTCGGCAACCTAAGGCCCATGGGCCACAAGCGGCCCATGGGGGTCATTTAACCGGCCCATGGACCCCCGCCACCTGCTTGCTTGGCTCCCGTGTGCCACGCTAAACTGGTGCGGAGCAGAGCAGGGACCGCCTTCCACAACACTGGCCGGCTTCCCATTGGCTGCAGGAAGCTCCTGCAGCCAATGGGAAGCTGCGTACACCTCCTCTGTGCCAGAAGGAGTGCCGGAAATAGTTTTTGCACATGTGTGCGCACACTCCAGCCCACCGCGGTGTCTGTGGGACCGTGAACTGGCCCAAGCCACAAAAACTTTGCCGGCCCCTGATCTAGCTGATATTATTTGCTTTGTATTCCGTTGGAGGAGGGGGAAATATCATACTTAAATAACTTTTTCTTGGAATGTTTGGTTAGTCTCCATATAGAATTGGCTGTGCTTTTAGAAGACTATAACCTAGGTGTAGTTGATGAAGCTACTTGAAAGTGTGCTCCCATTTAAGCTCCATCTGCACTCTACATTTAAAGTATTATAGTCATACCTCTAGTTGCGTTAGGAGTGCTGAGAGTTCCTAGGAAACCCCCATTCCCCCTCACAGAACCACATTTCCCATAGTTCCCTGGGAGGAGGGATTGGCTGTGAAGCCCCTCTGAGAATTGCAGTTCTGTGAGGGGACTCGGGGTCTCCTAGCCACTCTCAGCACCCTTAACAAACTACACATCCCAGGATTCCTTGAGGCAAGCCATGACTGTTAAAGTGCAGATGCAGCATTAGACAAAGCAAAGCTGAGGAGTTTAGCAAGTTGACTTGTGCTAGACTTATTTGTCCATCTGGCCCAATATCAACTATTTTGACTGGTAACAGCCCTCCAGGATTTCACTCTGGTAATGGATCCTTTTAACTGAACCTGCCAGGGATTGAACCTGGGGTTTTCGTATGTAAATTATCCATAGTCCTTCACCTTAGCAAATGGCAACACAGCCTCTTCTTATCCCTCAGCTCCCTGTCAGTGTCCCAGCTCTTCTATTACTTTCCCGATTTCTCTGCTTTCTCTCTCTGGAACACCCTGTCTTCTTCAGGAGAGACTGAATATCACCAATGAATTTTAGCTCTTTAATATCCTTGCTACAGTTTCACCTGTTGGTTCCAGTTTAAGCTGTTGTGTTCATATGGGCACAAATGTGAAAGAGTTTTGCATTAAGTGTAATAACAGGGGTCTTTTTAGAGGGACCTTATTTCTATCTATTTTAAGAAATTGGCATTTCTAATTTCATGTTTTTAGAGCATTGAAAATCTGTGTACTTTGTTGCATAAACTATTGTCATCAGTATATTTTCTTTCTTTCTTTGCTAGCATGGAGGAGTCTATGTGAAACGAAGTGCCAAATTTAATGAAAGGAAAATGAGGAACAAGTTGCAAGCCCAGATAAAGGCTGGAACTCCAGTAAGATTATATATTTCCCGTGTGTGTGTGTGTGTGTGTGTGTGTGTGTGTGTTTTCTAACTGCCATGAGAATGAAAGTGACAAGAATGCTTGTCTCATATGTTGCCCCAGATGCATGACTCACCTTTCTTCCCCCTGCTGAACAGATGAGTGGCTGGATTGGGTTGTTTGTTTGTCCATTGGTTGGTTGGTTTATACACCATGTGCATGCCAAAATGGCTTCCAGCATGGAGGAGTCTTAGGTTTGGCTTACACACTTCCTTTTTCTGTGAACGGATGTCTTCCACATGGTTAGTAGATAGCACTGTACCCTCCCAGAAAACTCTTGGTGTCAGAATATAAAACCTATTTCTGCAGTATCAACTTTATCTGAATTAGGACTGGTGGTTGTTGCTGTTTTTGCAAATTAAATAATGACGCTTCTATTGATCAGCTAATATGAAGTTTCATATAGGCTAAAAAAGGAGGTGATTGCTGTCATAACTCCCAATAGAGTGTCATGTGGATTCTCAGTGTTACAGCTTATCTGGAACCTTGTAACCGAGTGTTCATCATACCCACCAAAGCATCAGTTTTTGCATGTTGGGATCAGGAAGAAATCAGCAGCATTCCTTCCTTCCTTCCTTGTCAGCTGAGTGTCATACAAAGGATAGCATGTTCTCTTTGCTTGCCAATGCCTATAGCTGTCACACACCAAACAAGGTTTGCTAGCCAGGGCTGTTAGGTTAATTTGTTCTAGTTGAGAAGGCAGCTTGTATTTCTTGGCCTTTGTATTATTTAAAATTGCAGTACATTCAGTTGCAGCTGGTTAGGGATCTCTGGACAGGATATAAAGAGAGAGAGATTTGCTCACTAAACTGTGTTGGTTTACTTTCTCTGACTTGAACCATTTAGTATGTTCTTACACACAATTTTTGTTGCTTCTGCTGCTTAATTTTTCCTTGAAAATTCAGATTCCTTGAATATCAAGATTGCTCATCTTAACTGAAAACGACTGTTGTTGCATATCTTTATAAACATGTCCTCTGTGTTTTATCCAATCCTTTTCTCCCCTCCCCATTGCGCACACACATACTGTGCACACATACTTTGCTGTCATACTGTAGCTTAGATTGTGATGCTTCCTTTAAAAAAAATTGTGCATATATATTTTTTTTAATTCCACAGATGTATCTTGTGATTTTTCCAGAGGGAACACGGTACAACCCAGAACTACCAAAAACCATTGCAGATAGTCAATCATATGCTGATAAGGCAGGTAAGGTGAACTTCAAAGAATTTTGGGAAGCAGGGAACTTCGAACAGATAACATTCACTGTTGCGTAGACGCAGCCCTACAGTTTAAGGATCACCAAGGAGAAAGGGACATTAGTTGAAAAAGAGTGAGGCTTGACCATAGGTGGGTGCTGAATATACACAATAAATATTGTGCTAATAAATATTGTGCCCACACGCTTCTTCTGGCATGAGCTTTGCAGAGTACGCAATGTCATTGGAAGCCGATTGAAGTCTGAATGCTGTCTGTCTTTCTGGACATGAAGGAAAGAATGGCTTGAAAGCTACAATAATAAACAATAATAAACCCATAGATTACTATATACAGTGGTACCTCTGGTTACGTACTTAATTAGTTCCGGAGGTCCGTTCTTAACCTGAAACTGTTCTTAACCTGAAGCACCACTTTAGCTAATGGGGCCTCGCACTGCTGCCGCACGATTTCTGTTCCCATCCTGAAGCAAAGTTCTTAACCCGTGGTACTATTTCTGGGTTAGCGGAGTCTGTAACCTGAAGCGTTATGTAACCTGAAGCGTATGTAACCCGACGTACCACAGATACAGAGTATTAACAGCATGTACACTCTCTCAGCAAACTGCCATTAACCAATCCCTCACGCTATAACCACCACAGACAGAAAGACTCTCTCAGAACGCAGGCATATGCATATAGCTGCTGTTACAGTATAACACTGATTGGCTGAGCGCTCTGCCAAGAATATCTCACATGTCCGTGTGCGCACATATATATATTTGAGTCAGTATTTTAAAAATGGCAACTAATCCAACGGGCAGGATTCACCTAACAGGACCTTCTAGCAGAAGCCCTGTTCAAGGACTTCCCCTTGTGGAATGGGGCTTCCCCCGCTGCACCCCCTGAAATTTGCTCAGGAGGAGACTTGCTCCACCTCGCAAGCTGAAATTCTTACACAGACGAAACATTTATCATAGTGCAGCATTGAATTACACCCAAATAACTTAGAGTAAACATTTTAAGATGCAATTTGCCAGGCATTTTTGGGTGACCAGGCTCCTTTTTTAGAAGCTTTAATACACTGAATATTTCCACGCTTCTGAATATTGTTAACAGTTTTCGATGCTTTCGTTGAGATTCCTGGGGTTAGAATCCCTTCCAGTTCTGCAACTCTGTGATATATTAATATTATTATTTGCTGCAGTTATTAGTCACCTACTTAATGAAAAGTAAACTCAGATGAATATAAACTGGACCAGGCTTTCCTGTAACAAATTCATGCACTTTGGTAGTTCAGAAAACAAGGTTCAACCTTCCAGGCAACAAACCTGGTACTTGACGTCTTTGTACGCTCAGTACATAAAGGTTTAGCTGCAAGTTCTGATAATCATGTATCGGTTTCAAGAATCACCATCTAGTTGGCAAGGCAAGAGGCCAGGCTCTCTTATCTTTTTAATTTTTCTGCAGTTGTAACATTCAGCCTAACAGTTCAAGCTTTGTACTACAGAGCTTCATTGCTCTTCGCTTAGAATTTATTTTCAAGTGGAAAGAAATTGGAGCAACAGTGGCTGGTTATCGGACTTCCTTTCCTAGTCTAAACACAATAAAGCATTCAGAAACTTTTAATTGCTACAGAATTACTGCTGCTAGCGTTTTGGCTGGGTTTAGGCTTTGAGAACATACTAAACCATTTTTTTGTCCTGCATTGAATGCTAATTGGCTTCTGGGCTGAAATCAAGGTGCTAATTTGACTTTTTAAAGCCAACTGCATTGCGACCTGGATACCCTGGGTGTCTCATTTTTCTGCTTTGTTTTGTCTTGAACACACTGTTCAGGATCTGAGTTCTTGCCGCAGGTTCCACTAGCCTTGTTTTGATGATATGTACTAGGTTAATGACTAGCACTTGTTTGAATTTGTTCTCTTCTTATGTTTTACTATTACGTGTTCTTATGTGAGCCACCTTGAATCCACCTTGTGGGAAAGAACCATTTTTAATACATAGGCAAATCTGGTGGTTCACAAGGCTACATCACAGACGAAATAACATTAGGAGTAAATATGAATATCAAGGTAGAACTTATTCAAACAGAAGCAAATAAACAACAGAATGTTTTGAGAGCCTCCATTTAGAACACCAAAAATTAAATGCTTGGTTCTCAACAACATGTTTGGTGATCTTGCCAGTTATTACGAAGCCACAGAGCTCTGTTAAAATTCACAGACAGCTTTCTGGGTCACGTGGTCAGCATGACTAAACCGCTTCTGGCGCGATGGGACACAATGACAGGAACCAGAGCGCACGGAAATGCCGTTTACCTTCCTGCAACAGCAGTACCTATTTATCTACTTGCACTGGTGTGCTTTCGAACTGCTAGGTTGGCAGGAGCTGGGACAAAGCAGCGGGAGCTCACCCCGTCGCGGGGATTCGAACCGCCGACCTTCCGATCGGCAAGCCCAAGAAGCTCAGTGGTTTAGGCCACAGCACCACTCGCGTCCCTTACAAGTATTATTTAGCAACAGTATTTAGGCTTGGGGGGTGATATCTACTTGTTTCCACCCACCAAGCACCCTTCAGAGCAGACATGGGGGGTTGCAGGGGCAGGAGATGAAAGGGAATTCCTGTCACACAATTGGACATGGGTTCCTAAAATAATAAGCAGGTGTTCATGGTAGTCAGTGCTTACTGCCAAATCAGGCTTGTAATTTGACTAGCACTTTGTGACGCATGTCCAGAACAGCAGTCCCATTCTTGCATCATACATCTTAAAGGCCACAAGGGATTCAGATATGTATGTGCTAAAGTTGCAAACCTGTTCTTTTCAAGTGAGGTACATATTTTTCCTTGGTTAAGCTGACCACTCACCTTCCTAGCCATTTTCACCTGTGGTTTTTTTGTGTTATTTTGTGGATGTTTTATCGAAAGCTTGGAGCAATATTAGCTGAACTGAACGCTTGGTAATAAAAACAATTGCTGTCATAACACTGCGTCCAGCACACATGGGCTGGAACGACATCTCAGCAACACAAACACCCTGGCACTTTTGATACAAAATTCACGTGCTAAAAAGCTGTGTTAGGTTTCAAAATATTTGCATAGTCTTGTATTGAATAAGCAAACATTTCTGGAATGGCTGCGATGGACCTGACATCAGTGTTGTCCTTGGTTGTAACAAATGTTGAAGGAATACAGTTTGGTGGAAGCAGTAAAAAGAGAAAAAGGGAAATATTCTTTGCAGGAAAGTTGGTTAAGAGATGCAGCACATTCCTGATGGTGTAGAAAATGAACTGTCTTTAACTACTCTGTAAATGGAGGATTTGAAGCAACCCACTTTTATTCCAGTTGCATTGTATGTAGTAGAATCATTGGAGCACTGAGCTGTAACCTAATATATCATGCTCACAGTCATGTTGTCAGATTCTATTTTTTACACAAAATAAGGGCAGGACTGAGACCTCCCTATTATTTTAATATTGATTTTGGATGGTGGCATTTTGTTAACAGCAGGATACTGGAATTTCAGTTAATGTTTCCAAAAATAAAAGCAGACTGTCTCTTCTTTAACTAAGGAACTCTTGTCTTGCTTTAGTTCACATTTTAAATTATTTCGTTTTCCTTTTGTTGAACAGGTTTTATTCCTCTCAGTTGCATTATGTTGTTTTATGTTTCAATGTTGTGCTATAGTTCTAAACATGTTATGTATTCTGCCATGAACTCCATTTGCCGATGAAGATGGCACCTCATAATTTTTTTAAGGAATGTGATTGTGAGATTCATTGTAAGATCTTTTTGTACAAGGACTTGCAACTTACCAAAAGTAAATCTCTTTATTATAAATGCATAATAGGAATTTAGAGCTTTGTGTATTTCCGCTGCATATTAATATGGTTTAAATAATCCGAGAGTAACATATGAACTATAGATTTGCTTGGGAGCAAAACTTAACTAAATAGGGCAAAATCTTTGAGGGCATGTAACTTAATTTAGGATGAAATGAGCCAACTGATATATCAGTAAAGCCCACCCAACCATCAGGACTCATCTGGGTTTCTCCTTGAGCTACTCAATTGAACCTGGTTGCGGAAAACGGATGGAAGCAGTTGAGTAGCCAATGTCCACAGCAGCTCTCTTTGGACGTGAAAGTAGTTATGTGTAAGGATTAGGACAAACCCTGACATTATTAAGCCCTAATTTACAGACTACAATTTATCTAGTGTTCCCCATAGGCTGAAAGTTTATAAAAGGCAGACTTCAAATACTGACCTCTTAAGACTTGAGGAATACATGAACATATTGTGCAAGCTGGGAATACTGTTATTTTCCCATGGCTTTCTAGTGGGGGGAATATTAAGGTCATCATTTTTATCTATGCAGTACGGTGTACCACGGATATGTGTGCTTGACAATCTTTGATATTCTTTCACCTAGAATTCAATTTGCTTAAGATGCTTGCTCTTGAAATTTGATCTAAGCAGTGGTTTTCATTTTGTTTTTCTATGTGGGTTCTTTTGGTGCTTAGCTAGCGAACCTTGATGAGATCAGTGGTAGCAGACAGGCCTCAATGAAACGACGACTTGGTTGCCACAACCCATGTTTCCACCTTTGGTATGCAGAACAGTGTTGAATACATTTATGTGTGGAATAAGTAAGACGCTGTGCGTCTTAGGATGCTATTGCTGAGGCCCAGCAGGCCTGGCCTCACCCTCCATGAACTCTATGTCTAACCTAGAGCATGTCCCAGAATCCTCTGCAGTGCCTAGCGATTCTGTGACAAATTGTATTCGGGTTCCCAGGCAAACAGTTCCTTGAGGCAGAAAGTTTCAATACACCGGCCTTGTTCACATATAACTTGAATCCAAGCCATGATTTAATGTGAACGAGCAACTTCCAAGAAAGAGATTGTGGTTACTTTGCCCCCCTTTTGGCCTGTCCCTGTTTGCTGCTCCTTTTGTCTTAGCATATTATCTGGATCTGAACTTGTGGTTGAGCTCTCTGAAACCAAATATGAGTTCTAAACTGTAGGGCAAACCTTGGTTACAGCTCGTGGTTTGTCTTGGGAGGTGCTAAACCATGAGCCCAGCTTTAGACGATACAGTAAGCCAAACCATGTCATGTCCTAGAGCAGGGATGGCCAACAGTTCGATCGCGATCTACTGGTAGATCCCCGGGAGGTTTTGGTAAATCGCGGTTGATTGCTGGTTCCCTTTCCTCAGCTGTGGTAAAATAGAATCGGGCCCCACCCCCTCGCCCCGCCCTCCATTGTTGCACGATCTCCAGAACGAAAGACAGAGTTTTTGCAGTGATGCTGATGGTTTCCTTAGTGATCTTTTGGTGAGCAACTTTCCTCCTAAGAAAGCTCAGCAACCTTTCCCCGAATCCCTAAAAAAACAGAACTTTCTTCCCTAAAAAAAGCTCAACAACACTTTGACCTGAACCCCTCCCCAAAAGGGGTAGATCACTGCCAGTTTTTTATTTTGTGAGTAGATCACAGTCTCTTAGGAGTTGGCCATCCCTGTCCTAGATCACAATGACTGGAGGAAGAGCAAAGCTGCTGCAAAATTGGCTTTGGGAGTCCACATGATGTTATGTGCGGACTGGAGCCCTAATTTAATGTGACCTGCAAACTAGAGACAAACAGGAGTTAATATGTAACACTGTCATTATACTCTGGAGGCTTCAGTTCTCCAGGAGAAAAAGCCACTTTTAATACATTTTCAGTATACTTTTTCTCTTGCTTAGGACTTGCTGTATTAAAACATGTACTGACTCCACGGGTGAAGGCTACTCACATTGCAATTGATTCGATGAGGACCTACTTAGATGCAGTTTATGACATTACGGTAGCATATGAAGGTACTGTGGACCAGAAAGGACAAAGGAAAGTGGCTCCATCCATGACAGGTGAGTTGGTGACGTTGAATTAAATTAAGCAAGAATGGGGAGTCTGTTTTGGACAGCGGGTTGGACCGAATTGTGGCCAACCCTCCACAAGCCATATTTGACAGGTGGGTGGGGCCTAGTATACAGGGATGTGAACAAAGCACTTGTGGAAGGTTTGGGCCAATGATGTATCTCAACTCTTGCCCATCATAGTTTTTAAAAACCAGCCAGAAGAGGTTGGTTGGGTTGGTCTAGAAGTTAAACGTTTCTGCGATAAGGTAAAAAAAATTGGGAATCAATTTATAATGAACTCAAAAAAATATTTAGATATACTTTCCCCAAAAGACCGGAAGCGTGTCTATTAGGCTTAATAGGAACAGAAATTAAAATAGAAGATCAAAATTTGTTCATGTATGCTACAGCTGCCGTGGGGACCCTTCTGGCCCAAAGATGGAAAGTACAAGATATACCAACTATTCAGGAGTGGCAGGCGAAGTTGACAGAATATGCAGAACTTGCCAAACTGTCAGGGAGGATCCGGGACCAGGGAGATCAAAGATACCAAAATAACTGGAGTAAATTTATTGAATATTTAAAGAAGAATTGTAAAGAGGTCAAGACACTACCAGGATTGACACAATACCTCCAATGTATAATAGTACTAATATGAGAATGATGTTCGTGATGGAAAGAGAATAAATATACCAGTTGTGGGGAGGGAGGGGGGTTGCGACTCGGCAGAGTCAAAGGGAATGTAGGGTGCTATTACAATTTGTTGGAAAGAATATGTAAGGAAAACAATAAAAATTCACTTGGAGAAAAAAATAGAAGTTAAACGCTTCTGTGCCAGCTGCCTTAAAGGAGGCGGTGGTGTAAGCCCTCAAGAGGACAATCCTGAGGTCTGTGACAACTACTGCCCAGTTGCTAATATCCCCTTCTTGGGCAAGCAAACTTGAGATGGTTGTGACTGTTCACCTTCATTCAGTGCTTGGGGGGGAAACTGATTACCAGGTGTCTGAATCATCTTCATGAGAGGTTTTTTAGCGCAGACTGGGTGGCAACACATTTCTTGCAATCAGAAAATGGGTGACCTCTGAGGTTCTCTGACCAGGTATTTTAAGTTCATGTAGGCTTTTCTGCTCGTAGTTTTTAGCTGTCTCAAAATGGGTTTTATGAAGATTTCGACTTAATCTTTTGTTGTGATTATTCTCATCCATGGGGATGAAGGACGGTCCAAAATATTTTTTAATATACTTTAATATACTTCTTGTTCAGGAGACTGGTGGGAAGTCACACGCTCTCCCTGTTCTGATGTTAATTTTGGTACTTAATGTCCATCCCATTATTCCTGACTAGAAAGTAATGTCGGGTCCATTTACCTCAGACCTGGGGGACTTTGGCCCTCCAGGTCTTGTTGAATTGCAGCTCCCATCAGCAAACATGGCCAGTGGTAGTACAAGAACCTTTGAAGGGCCAGCGTTTCCCCACATCTGATTTATCTGAAACTTACCCCCTTTTTCATTGTGGGTGATCATGGGGTGGTTCGCAGCATCTTTCAATGTGGCAGTGATAGCCAGGGTGATTGCAGCATCTACCCTAACCTTGGGAGATTAAGCCCTCTTTAAAGGACTGTGGATATCTGTCCCTATCTCCTGGGTCACTTCTCTGTCTCAAAATACTAGAAACTTCGAAATCATCCCTCTTTCCTATTGCACTCTGCCTTTGGCACACTTGCAAGATCTGACTAGTGTTCATTAATTTTGGAAAACAGCCCTTCAATCACTGTTTTAGATTAAAACCTACATGTCAACTCTTGGCCTGTGATGAAATCAGGTGCAGGGACTACCAATATATTTAAGAATATCACCTCTTTTGTCAGAACAAAACGGGTGACTTCAGTGATTTTGTGTGTACTCCTAGGCAGGATTTTTCCTGTTTCAAAAAGCGTAATGCATTTAAGCTAGTTTATATTTTAGTATTAGTCTTTTAATGTATCACACAAAACAAAAACCCATTTGACAAGACTCAAACTACTACTTGTCTCTGAGCCTGTAACCTTTTGGATAGTTTTGTACTTTGCTTTCTTTTTATCCTTCTTTGGAGATAATGGATGAAGAACACTGTGTCACATTACGATTCATTCCCATTCCTTGGTACCAGTAGTAGAAACATTGTAGTGCTAATGGTTTTGGTGTTCTTGCCATTTAATCTATCTGAAATTGTCTTAGTTTTTCCTCCCGTTTCTCATGATTATGGTACTTCTGCAAGCAAACACAGATGCTCATTGATGTTTAGTTTCTACTCCTTTTATTTCCTATGACTGAAAGCCATCCTAGAAATAGTTCCTTTCAAGTTGGTTGCGCTTTTGTTCCCATGAGAATTTGCCTAACACATTCTAATCAGTTTCTGATTCACAGCAAGAAAGTTGTCCCTAATCAAAAGCTTGAGGGGTAATGTATGGTTCTTAATTATGTTGCTTCTTGCGGAGGGAGCGTTTTGTTTTATTCCTCCTTCCAAGAATAGCCTTTTGGCAACTTTGGAAGAATTAAGCAACCCATCAAATGCTGGCATTTCAAGCCAATATTCCTGAAGTTGGATGTAATTTGTAGTTAATGAATTGCTGCAATGGGGTTTGGTTTTTTTAGCTTAATTACATAAGCCTTTGGGGAGTTGAGCCGATGTGAAATTAAGGGTCATGGGACTACGCAACCTTTAGTGGCTCTTATGATAGAATCCAGCTGTTCCTCCGCAAAAACAGGAATGCCATAAATTGTTCTTATCCACTGGTAAGCCAAAGTAGTTACAGTGACATTGTGTCTTTTGAAAAAAAAATGAATTAGTCTCGCTAAGATGAACTGCGTACAATTAAAATAGTTCCTTGGTCAACTGGATATAATCAAGAGTTTCGTTCTCGCAACTGCATTGACTATTCGTTTTTTTTTAAATTCGAATGGTATGAAGGCTAAGGGTAACATAGTATGCAGAAGTGAGAGTGGCAGTTTCTCCCACAGTGGTTTCCACACTTTGGACGAAGAGCTGGAGGACTGCCATGAGGCAGTTTTGATTTTATGTTGCGCCTTCCTTTTTGCTTTTTTTTTTTTTAAATCATATTTATTGAAGTTTCCAAAAAATCCAAAACATAAAAAGGAAAAAAGCATTTAAAACCTTATTTTCATTAACATCTTTCCAGGACTTCCCTCCCCCTCCCCCTCTTGTATTCCATTTCCATTAGATTAGTTCCACAAGTTTTTACCCCAAATTTAAAACTTATTATATTTAACCCAATATTCAATTTAGTTCATCTTATATAATCACTTTCCCTTAAAAATCCACCTTCTTTCAACATTAAATTCCTCCCCCCCTAAGAACGACCCCAATTCCCTTCCACGAATTCCCCTTTTTAATACACACAAAAATTTAAAGAAATTAAAAAAAAAGATTCAAAATATAATTTTACACCCTTTGGATTCCAAATCTCCCTCCCCCCTTTCCCAGTATCGATCCCCAATGTCCATCAGTCTAACTGCTATCAGCTCCACTTTGCCGGTTTTCTTGGTAATCTTTAGCTTCAAACACCCAATCTTAAAAAAGCTCTATCTCAAGAAAGTCCATTTTTCTTCCATCCAGACCTCTATATTTAAGAGTAAAACTCAAATTCTGTTTCTTGATCCTTTTAAGTCTGAATGTCCTTTTTGCTTTATCCCATGAGTACAGCACTGACACGGTTGAAACGGCGACCCAAGATATAATGCATTTCAAGGATTTGCAGGGCAAATCGGCACTTGGATGGCGAAGAGCTAAATGAGATTGCTTTGCATTGCTTGCGCCTGCCCAGGACCCTAAAATAACCTCAGCTAGGGCAAAGGCAACATGCAACCCTTGTAATGATAGATGCTCCTGACCTGCCAGTGTGTGGCAGAAGTATGGAGAGGCACATACCTCAAATACTCGTGCGAGTTAAAAGGGAAGAAGTGCAGAAGTCCCCAGTGTCCACTTTTCTTCCATGTTCCATTCTAAATAAAATCAGAAGGATGCAAATTATTATTTATATTGTTCCTGCAGGATGGTATTTTGTGATTAATGGACATCCAAAACACACAAACCATCAACAAAAGTAAAACTAAGGTCATGGTTTAAAATCCTTTCAGCTGTGCCTAGTGCTCTTGGTATCAGAATTCACATAAAGATACATACTACGGTTCTCGTGTTCCGTTTTCTGCATTCCTGAATTTCATTGCGACTTACAAGTCATATCTCGTTCCTGCTGGCTCTGAACTTTAACCCTGTGGAATTATTCGTGATTCTCTCCTCCCTTCCCTGCCGCCCGAAATACTACTCAAGATTCTCAAGATCAAATGGATTTAGTAGCTTTCATATGTGCACCTGAAGTTGGGTTTTTAGTTTGTGTGTGTTGATTTTCACAACTCCTATACTGAACTGTAAACCATTAGGCATCTGGTTGGTCGCTGTGGGAACAAAATATTGGACTTGATGGGCCTTTGGCATGATCCAGAAGTGCTCTTCTTATGTTCCTAACAGTTTCATATATTTGTGCAAGTTTTAGAAGAAGGTGGTGATTTTGACTTCAGTAGCCAAAGAAAGAGAATGTATGTGTCCACTTCAGTGGCACTTATGAAAGTAACACTCCTACCCTCTATTTTTTAGATTGGAAAAGTATTTTAAAAGGGAAAAAATGCCGGTTTTTTTGCTCTCACTTTTTCCCTCCTAAAAAGTAAGGGGAAATGTGTGTGCGTCTTATGGAGCGAATGCAGGCTGCGCAGCTATCACAGAAGCCAGAACAGCAAGAGGGATTGCTGCTTTCACTACATAGTGATCCCTCTTGCTGTTCTGGCTTCTGAGATTCAGAATATTTTTTTTCTTGTTTTTCTCCTCCAAAAAACTAGGTGCGTCTTGTGATCTGGTGTGTCTTATAGAGCGAAAAATACGGTACATTTCATACATTATTTAAGGTTTAAGTAGACATTAATGTCTCTGAACATGGATGGAAACAGTGGTGTTATACTCTGCCTTGTGAGAGTACTTACCTTGAAAAGCAACCTAAAAAAATTTTTTAAATAAAAAAAACACAACGAATTGTGATCTTGTTACTCAAAGTTCCGACCTTGTAGTAATTTTCAAAAGCCTGTTTCTTTTAAAGAATGCCGAATAACACTGCACAATTACTGGACTTGGCTTTAATTTTACTGAACGACAGTGGAGTTGCTGCTGATGGGACAAGTGTATTTATGATGTTCTTTTGGGTTTTGTAGACTTCCTTTGTAAGGAGTGTCCAAGAATCCATATTTATGTTGATCGCATTGCACTCAAAGATATTCCTGAAGAACAGATGTATATGAGAAGATGGCTTCACGAACGTTTTGAAATCAAGGATAAGTAAGTAAATACAGTGATGTGACACTGCTTCTGGAGCAGCATTAATACGGCTTGAAAGTTCCACAGAACTCAACAAAATCTTAACTGGTTATTGCATACCATCAGTGAAGGGTTGGATCCAGATTTTGCCTTCCATGGTTAAAAAGGCACCTTCTGGAAAAGCTTCTGATCCAGCAAAGGGGTGCTGCTGGTGGAGAAGGTAGAGACCTCTTTTGCCTGTTCATCTAGCACCCCCTATTACGCTCTTCTGAAAGGTTGGAGAACCTTCCGGAACAAGAAAGAGGTGGTGCTCTATGCTACGGGAGGAGTAGGGAAAGTAGACTTTGCTTTCGTTCAGGGGGTACTTCTGCTGGTGGGAACAAAGTTTGGATCCAATCTAAAATGTTTCCCACAGACCTTTTGCCCATTCCTATTTGCACATGATAACTTGTGTGACATTTGTGTTCATCACCAAACTATGATAAGCCTGTTACCTTTTTTTTTATCCTTTCTTTGCTCCTAGGTTGCTAATAGAATTTTATGATGCAAAAGATTCTAAAAGAAGGAACAAGTTCCCTGGGAAATGTGTCCGTTCCAAACTAAGTCTCAAGAAAACTTTGCCATCTTTGCTGTTTTTAAGTGGGCTGACTGTTGGTATGCTGCTGACAGAATCTGGACGAAAACTGTACGTGAAAACATGGCTCTATGGAACTTTGCTTGGCTGTCTGTGGGTCAGCGTTAAAGCGTAAGGTTCTGCACCTACAACCAGTGACGTTATTCTCCTGTCTTGCACATCACATCAAACTCTTTCCTGAATTTATAAAATGTAAATAAAGCCTTATTAATGGAACATTGGATGAATTGAGACTTGTGACCTAAATCTGCCATGGTCAGTGTGGAGAACATGTATATGTAATTATGCTCCTGGTTTTCCCCCCCAGAAAAAGCAAAAGAAAGCCAGAATTATAATGCATTTTCCCTCTATGGATGGATATCTATCTATCTGCACATGATTTAGTAGAACATGTGATTATAGATAAACAGCTGAAGTGGACCTCTGAATGTATTTACTGATATTACTTTAGGTTTATATATTTATTCCTGACCCACGTTCTTTAGTTCACTATGGAAATTATCACAGCTGCGTCACAAACTAAAAACCAAAGCTAATATCTCCCAACACATTTGTTTCCTTTTTTTTCCCTTTTTGAATTGAGTTTCTCAAATTTACAAAGCAATTGGTAGAACATGAAAAGCTATTTTTTAAGAAAAAATATGGGTAAAAACTCTCCATGTGGAAATTACTTTAACATATGCATGATTTAATTATATAACTAGATGGCTTAGTTTTTGTTTGCAACATGTTTAATTTTATTCTCGAAAAGGCTTGTGTTCTTGATTTAAAACACCCTGTGCTGGTGCATAAATGATTTTATATATACAATATGTTCAACTAGTAAGTCGATAATTGAGGCTGTCTTGGTTGTAACCTACCTAGATTCGCAAAGAGCATATTGGTACATTTCAGCTACACAATTAGTTTAAGTCATAATATGTGTGCCATAAACAGCAGTGCGCATTCCAGTTTCCTGTTACCCCAGGACCATTTCACATGGGGTGTTTTGTCCACAAAGAAAACGATCGCTTTTATCAGGAGCAACCATATAGTGTTACTTGTGAATATTTTGCTGTGAATACACCAGTTGGGAAACAAGTGTTGGTGAAACATTGACTTGTGTGAAGTGGTCCTGAGCCATATGGAACCAAATGAATGTGCCTTGCCATGATTGATGCTGCTGTGCAGCTTGGAGTATATTTTATGGTAACAAGGAACATCAATGTGTTCTTGCCAAAATGTAGACTATGTGCCTTTTTAATCTACTGATCTTAAATATAACCTAATATTTCACAGCCTGATCATTTAACACTGTAATTTTGGGGTATTTCCAAAGCTTTTCACAGTTGGCGTGCACTTGAACTTGAAGTATGCAGTTTTGCACTGTAGAATAATAGTGAGAGATGCATATTGTATTAGTATTTAATCCACTCACCAATGTGTTTTGTAAGAGCCAGTGGTTCTTGTTGCTATTTGGTGATATATTGGGAAAATATTTCCTGTTGTCATGGGGCTAATTATTCTGTATCAACTAAGGGAAGGGATTCTATTTCGTATCTATTATTTTGTAAAAACAAAAAAATCAAGATTCCACTATCAAAATGGAAAAAGATTAGAGGCTATTTTTATCTTTCCGAGTTTTTTTCACAAGAAGTTTCTGTTGGCCTTGGAATTGTTTAAGACCCAACATGAACTAAAATGCTTGTCTTAGATTTTTAAAATATTAAATGCGTTTAGCTTCAGCTATGATGAGTAAGAAACACCTTGTTCTTGTGTGTTCTCCTGAAATTGTATAGTATACTTCATTTCAGATGTTCATCTATTTCATTATTCTGCCTTCCGGTTACTAGAGCAGACTTGCTGGTTAATGGAATAATCTATGGAAGAACAATGTGTTGGGTTTGTAGCCTCTGAGAAAGGATATGCTGTCAATCTCTGTGTCCTAGACCTGCGGAATTGCCTTCCAGTTTTACTGTAAAGCTTTTTTTGTTAATGGTTTGCCTATCAAACAGTCCGGAAACCTATGGGTTCAACTCTACAACTAAAACAAGCTGCTTAAATTTAATGAGGCAGAACAATTCTTTGGAAGTTGAACAGAAACATTTCAACTGTTCACAGATTCCAGATTATCTGGGACACAAATCATCTCCTTCGTGAAGCTTTATTTTAAACTTAATATCTTTGGCAAGTTGATGTAGCTTCCCCCATGATTTGTTTATTTAAAAATTGCTATTAATTTGAGGCATTGGCTGCTATTTCAGAACATAAGTAGATATTGACTTATAATTTTTTAAAAGCAGTGTGGCAACCTACTCCTGTTACTATTGTTTCTGAACTTTCAGAGTTTTAATACCTTACTCTATATGGACAGGTCACCACTAACCTTTAATGTAAATTGGGTCAATGAATATAACTTTATTGGATGCCCTGCTGCTACAGCAGTCGAGATACAAGTTTTCAGCTGCAGGGTTGTAATTCTGCAAAAACAAAGAACGTGCACACCCTTCAGACTTTCACACTGAATGGCTCTTTTGACATCTGAAGAGGGCCTTTGTAAGAGAACAAAACTAAGGGCAGACAATGTGATTGTCCCTTTGCCTTGCCTGACAGGAATACTAGAACTGAATCGCCTCATTTTGATGGAGCATTTATTTGTGGCAAGGAGTAAGCAAGGCCACATTCCACGTGTAGCCATAGACATACAGGAGTCGCTTCCTCATGGTGTGATCTCATGCTGCAGAGGTTTGTGTGAATCAAGGGACCATCAGATGGGCAACACTAACTGAGCCAGGAGCAAAGTGATTGGGTACAAAAGCTGCACATAATTAGCCCCACCCATATGGTGGATTGACCCTCATGCTTCTCACTAGCATGGGGTTACACCATGAGGAAGCAAGTCCCACACTGTTGCAGAGCCAGATGAGTTTTAAAGGCATGGATGCCACTGGCAACTTGGAGTACAATTGGCTTAGTTGCCTGTTCTGCTCTCGATATTCCACTGGATAAATCTTAGTACTTTTGTATTTCACATCTATTTTTTTTTAAAAAAATGGCTGTGAAAGCTTCAAAAGTCACTTTACCTGAGACCCCTGGTTCTAATTCGCTTAAATTCCTTTGAGTATCGCAGAGGCATAATTAGAAAGGGGATTGTAAATGGGCAATGAAAATAGGCTCCTTTGAAAATGATTTTTCCCCCTGTCAGCATTACTCGATAATAGTTACGTTCACCATATTCATTTTGCTAATTGGTGTTTCTGGTTTGGTCTCAGTTGTTCGGAAAGAGTTTCACTCCGTAAATGGTTTCGAATATTGCACATTTGCTGGCTGGTAATAAGTTCAAACTGCAAACTGCATTGTAAAAGCAGTGAGGTAAGAGAGAAGTACCAAAGAGCGGTTTGGTGATTTTGCATTTGTAGAAAGTCTCTATTTTGAATCGGGGTAATTATGTAGTTCACAGAAATGTTTCTAGCAGCTCACATAAATATTTCTTTGGGAAATGAACTGACAACTTCTCTTGTCAGTTTAAATGTGAAATCTCTCCCTCTCTCATTGAAAGGGTTATGATCTGTGCTTATGTGGAAGAGATACTGTTTGTTCACATTCTGGAAACTTGAAGAGTTGATGCCAGGATTAAATTAAACATACATTCCAGTAGAAACTTCTTTGAAGGATTATTTTATTGATTTTGAATGTGTGTGATCGTAAGTAAATATTGAAACTGGAACAAACTTTCACAAATGATTGCTGTGTCTGGCCCATTCTGTCATGTGAAAAGTCAATCTCAATAGTTACAAGGCGTTGCTTGGTTTTAAAGTGCGCTTTAAGCCTTTAACAAACATGTATATTGCATAGCACGGCTGTGATGTTCCAAGGTATTCAGAATTTCTTCATGGCCACTACATTGGCTCAACTTGGTTTTGTTTGGGTGTTTTCTTTTTGGAGGCGTTTTATCAACTGTGTTGGCCTGCATAGTGTTCATCATTATCACAATTGCACACATTCCACAATGAAAATGTGAAGATTTACATTGTTTTATTCTGGTTCAGAAAGTGGGGCTTAAACAGAGTTTGGGTACTCTAGAGCAGTGGATCCCATTTAGGGATCTGGGGACCCCCGAGGGTCCGCAGAACACACTCAGGGGGTCCACGGCACCATCCCCTGCCAGGGACTCACTTTTTTTGTTAATTGCACAGTGAAAGCCACAACCTCACTCCAAATAAGTACTGTTTTTAACTAATTAATCTCTTTAAGCCTAGGATGAAATTTGGACACAGGAGGACTAATTAATAATAACAAATTACTACTACTACTATTAAAAGGGATGCGGGTGGCGCTGTGGGTTAAACCACAGAGCCTAGGGCTTGTCAATCAGAAGGTCGGCGGTTCGAATCCCCGCCACCAGGTGAGCTCCTGTTGCTCGGTCCCTGCTCCTGCCAACCTAGCAGTTCGAAAGCACAGAGTGCAAGTAGATAAATAGGTACCGTTCCAGCGGGAAGGTAAACGGCGTTTCCATGCACTGCTCTGGTTCGCCAGAAGCGGCTTAGTCATGCTGGCCACATGAAGCTGTACGCCGGCTCCCTCGGCCAATAAAGCAAGATGAGCGCCACAACCCCAGAGTCGGTCACGACTGGACCTAATTAATGGTCAGGGGTCCCTTTACCTTTACCTTACTACTACTATTATTACCAACATTACAAAATTTCTCCTGTTTCCCACTCCGTCTTCACAAATACTTTATCAAGCCCTGACCATGCCTTCATCTATGTCCCTGAAGGATCCCTCAGTTAGCAGAACCATATGCTGCAATGTTTTCCTAAGGTGTATCATCTCAGATTACAAGTAAGGAATAGCATGTTTAATTTCTTATATAAAAAGCCTTCTACATACAGAACACTTACAAGTTGGGGACACAATTGCTTTTCTTATTATTCCGTGAAGCAATGGAGACAAGTTTTTCCTGCTGCCTAGGGATAGGCAATTTGTGGTAATTCCACAACTTTCATGGTCTGTTTTTCAGGATACCAAAAACCCTTTGCTTTTTAGGGGCCACCCCACATCTTCTTCAAACAATTGCTTTGCACAGGTAACTACCATAGAGTTATCAAAATTTCCAAAAGTAGAGAGTCTGTGGCCTGGTTTTTGGAAAAATAAGGGGTCCTCAGTAATTAGCTAATTGGGAACCACTCTAGAGGCATGAGTTGACTTGCAAAGGAAACATTGCTTATTAGAGCAGGAACCAAAGTAAGAAAGATGAATCTCCCAGAAAGGTTTTGTGTTCAGAATGGAAAGCTCCTTTGAATACATCAATGTAATGTTCCTGGGGCAGCTGGGAGAGAGCGAATAAAAAGCTGTGGAAATTTCATTGTATAAAAATCATCAATATTCTGAGGCAAGTGTTTCCCATCTTCAAAGTAAGTCTTTTAAAAAAATGGTTTTGGGCAACCATTTCTACAACATCACCCTTCAAACAGTTACTTCCATCAGAAATGGACGTAACATTCCTGTCTCCCCGGAACATAGGAAACATTTTGTAGAGAGCCCCTGAGTAGCTTTGAAAGCTATTTGTACAAAAAGTCAACCACACACAGCAATATCCGCCAACACAGCCAAGTGAAACTGCAGGGGAAATTAAGCAAGGCAGGATTAAATTTCTAGAAGAGTACTTCGCCAGAACACTGCTTTGTATTGTTGGCTTTTACAAAAAAAGGAGGGGAAAGTACTGTGCTATTCAGCTACAAAGAGATTCGAAGCTCTCCAAAGCAGCAGTCTGATTTTGGCACTTCGCTTTAATGCACCTCACATAATAGACACACATATTATTTTTATTTTTATTATTTAAGAACTCCAATTCCTTCACAATGCACCCACACCATGGGAGTGCTGCTACTTGCATTGTGGCAGCACCTGCAAAAAAATCTTGCAGTTATGTCAATTAAAGCTCCTTTAACTGCAAAAGTGGGGAAATGTTATTGGAGAGTAAGCCTTGTCTTTGGATGTTGACCCAGTTTGACACTGGGCTGCCATTTAATTGGAACCTATTAAGAGGACATTGGATTGCCAAGGCTTAAGTTTTGGCAAGATTGTTATTTTTTTCTTCTTCTAAAAGGAACAGGCAACCTGGATAAAACAATATATGCTTCAAATGCCTTACAAACTGGATGCGAGTTGACTTGCAAATATGGAACTGTTAAGGCGCTTATCATAAAATATGTTATGTTGTTGTCGTTTAGTCGTGTCCGACTCTTCGTGACCCCATGGACCAGAGCACGGCAGGCACTCCTGTCTTCCACTGCCTCCCGCAGTTTGGTCAAACTCATGTTGGTAGCTTCGAGAACACTGTCCAACCATCTCGTCCTCTGTCGCCCCCTTCTCCTTGTGCCCTCAATCCTTCCCAACATCAGGGTCTTTTCCAGGGAGTCTTCTCTTCTCATGAGGTGGCCAAAGTATTGGAGCCTCAGCTTCAGGATCTGTCCTTCCAGTGAGCACTCAGGGCTGATTTCCTTCAGAATGGATAGGTTTGATCTTCTTAAATACGTTATAGTTCACCAGATAGCATTCGTACAAGCATTTAAGTAACATTTCCAGAATAGCAAATTCTTTCAGGAATTCATTCTTAAATTCTAAGGCCATGGAGGTTATTTCACACTGTTCCTTCCCACCTCCTCCTTGATGAGCACTAGATTTTCGTCACCTATTTATAGAAGTTATTCCTAAATATTAGATTACTGTAGTTGATTGAAAAATATTGATATGGCTCTCCTTCACCCACCTTAGCTTACATATCCAGTAAAATGAATATAGTGGGTCCAATATGTTTCCTAGTCTTTTTTTTGCCCAGTGCAGCAGAACATCAATTTCTTAAATCTACAGTGGTCTACCAGTGTCTTACAACCACAGCCTGGGTTGCTCTTAATCGGGGGTCAGCAAACTTTTTCAGCAGGGGGCCGGGCTACTGTCCCTCAGACCTTGTGGGGGGCCGGACTATATTTTTTTTGGGGGGGAGGAATTCCTAGACCCAAACAAATAACCCAGAGATGCGTTTTAAATAAAAGGATACATTCCACTCATCTAAACACATGCTGATTCTTGGACCATCCGCGAGCCGAATTTAGAAGGCGATTGGGCCAGAACGCGCCTCTGGGCCTTAGTTTGCCTACCCATGCTCTTAATATTTCCTACATATAACTGGGTGGGTGGGGAGGATCCTATAGAAATAGAGTCATATTAGTATACTGCTCTTCTTCAGTCATTTTAAATCTATTTCATACTTGGCACACATCTGCAGGAGAGTTCTTTTTTCCTTTAGTTTTTGGTTACAGGAACCAGTCTCCTTCCCGCATTGTCTTCTGCCTCACCGACTGACCTAGCTCCCTTTCCTCCCGGCATATATGTGAATTGGGGGTGTGGATGGCGGGCTCCGTGTGAGTACAAGACCTTTTGTACTCTTGTACACAAATGCATGAGAACTCAGGCTTCTTTAGTGCAGCATTAAATAAATCCAGAAAAGATGTTGGTTATCTCCCACTCCCATGTGTGCACACAACGTTAAATCAGCTCTGGGACAGATCTGGCACCACTTTTATGGCTTGCAAATGGACATAACTTATCAGGGAAGACTAGAAAATCCCTATTATAAAGATGTAAATTAAGCTTCCATCAGCACGTTTTTTGTTAATTCCCAATACTTCTTCCCTTGCGAATCCTGAATCTTAAAAGTAGTGATGGGAACAAATTGATACATTTAATCTACTGTCGTTCGCTTCCATTGCATCTCAAATGTTACTTAATGGCAGATTATTACTTCTTTTTTTTTCCTTTTCATTGTCACGTCTAAAAACAGCCCCACGTTAGGACTGTGGCAGATCTTGCAACTTTATTACAATGTGTTCTGAAACAAAATTAATTTGGCTACGGTAAGACTAAAAGCGGCAAACCTGGGAGTAAGCCCCATTTAGCTCAGTGGGGTTTACTTCTGAGTAGGCATGCGTAGAATTGCACAGACAATAATTTTTCAGCATGCCTTCCAAGTTTTTTTGTAACTAGATATGTGCCCTCAGCTTACTGTCTATGCAACATAAAACTTGCACCGGGGAAAACACTTCAGTGTCTCCTAGAACATTTGGTGTGAAGTTTGTTTTTGAGTTTAGGCGGGCAACAGATTGCCTCATTTTAGGCATCCTCCAAATACTTATTTAATCTGCCCACTGGAACAAGCTTTCTTGACTTTCTAACGTTCTTTCATCCTTGTTCTATGTAGTATCAGAACAATTGGAAGGGGCAGTATTTTTTATGATAAATTGCTTATTCTCAGCTGTGTGACTTGGGGGAAAGAAGTCCATCCTCCCCTGCTGTCTAAGAACACGCTGGCAGGCTTCTTTTATATGCCTATGTGGCACATTAAAACTGGAAAGGAATTCCTTTCCCTTCCCAAACGGTAGATGTATTTGTCTATTGTACTGATATATGTACAGTGGTACCTTGGGTTACAGACTCCGCTAACCCAGAAGTAGTACCTCGGGTTAAGAACTTTACCTCAGGATGAGAACAGAAATTGTGCGGCAGCAGCGGGAGGCCCCATTAACTAAAGTGGCACCTCAGGTTAAGAACAGTTTCAGGTTAAGATCGGACTTCCAGAACGAATTAAGTTCTTAACCCGAG